TAACAACTATTCACCCTCCCAACCTGATCATTAGCAACTCCTTTGTCCATTTCTGAAGAAGGGTCCAGACCTGAAACGTCAGCTTTCCTGCTCCTCTGATGCTGCTCGGCCTGCTGTGTTCATTCCACTCTACACCTTGTTATCTCAGATTCTCCAGCATCGGCAGTTCCTACTACCCCAGCTCAAGAGCTACTCTGGCAGCTTCAAGGTGTACACAAGCTAAAATCTCGATATTCCCAGTGCACCTTCTAGAGGCAGCGAACTTAACACAAAGTGGGTGGAGGCTAGTATGTCACCACTGTGCCCGAACGCAGATGTATAATCACAGCCAAGACCAGCTGAGGAATGTTTAAACGTCTATCTCCGTGGCCTTTACTCTGCGCTAAGTGCATTCTTGTTTATTTGCTTCAGGGCAGGTTTAATGGGAATTGTAATATCAGTCATTAACGTACTAATGAGATGAGAGATGAAGGTGTTGTGGAGATGTGCCTTTAACTGAGCATGCTAATTAGAATGCTCCATTAATCGTCACCAGATGCCGTGTGAACGGGGTGGGGGGACTGTGGAATAGGTTGTAAGCTCTGACAGGAGGGGTTTACCCACTGCTGCATTAACACTACACTGCATACTACAAACCTTAAACACCAAGCTCTAGATCATATCACCCTCTGCTGGTAGCAGTTCCCATTCCTGGGCCTAATGGCCAGGGAATATGTGTTACACACACACACTGGCAGGGTACTGATTATTGCTGTATGTGAGGGATTGTGGATTATCGCTGCTGGTGGAAGAGGAAGATTTACAGTCTTGCTTGGGAGCTTCAGCTTTACAGGCAGCAGATAGGGTGCTGTAAGTGATTTGATGGGCCAGTGTTATAGGGCAGAAGACAGGGAGTGAATACACCTTGTGAAAACATGTTAATGTCACACCTTCTCTGCAGGATCCCCTTTCCTTTCCCAGGGAGATCCCCTTGTGCTGCACACTTCCCTCACACGTTCTGTTTCTCTAAGGTTTTCTCTCTGTTGCTCTCTATCTGGGATCCTCTTACATTGTTGCTATGGGATCCCTCTGCACTGTCTCCATGTGGGATCCCCCTGCACTGTCTCCATGTGGGATCCCCCTGCACTGTCTCCGTGTGGGATCCCCCTGCACTGTCTCTCTGTGGGATCCCCCTGCACTGGGAACTTATTGAACCATTGCTACATTGAAAATGTATTTAAGTGAGCACTGAGACACCCTGGCATACAATGTATTGAAAATGTATTTAAGTGAGCACTGAGGCACCCTGACATACAATGTATTGAAAATGTATTTAAGTGAGCACTGAGGCACCCTGACATACAATGACAGGAGTTGAGTGCTGAGAGATGGGATTAGAGTAGATAGGTTCTTGAAATAGTGCTGTAATACTCTAATATTCTCCCTCTGGGATCCCCTTACCCCTGTTTCTGCTGGGGGTCCCTGCAGATTCTCTCAGTAGGATCCCAGATCTCCAGCAATTATTTTGTAATTTCCTGCATGTTGAATCCTTGTGCCTCAAAAGAGCCCAGTTAACCCTCCCCTCTTGTCATTCCAGGTTGTTAATCAAGGCTGGCATTGATGCAAACAAAGTGGCTAAAACAGGGACAGCTCTACATGAGGCAGCACTGTGTGGCAAGACGGAGGTGGTTCGCCTGCTCCTCGATGTGAGTCGTTACCAAGTGTTGAATTCTGGGAGTGTATACGTACTCTGATCTGTGCTGTCTGACAGCCTGAGGTCAGAGGGCAAGAGCTGTCAGTGTCCCAGCATTCCTGACCATGTTGACACACACAGGCTACCTTGTTCCCAATCAATCCCCCCATCACTTCAGCCCATTGTAACTCTGCAACCTCTGCCAATCCTACCATATCCTCTTTCTTTATTGTCACGCAGTGCCCAATATCCATCTTCTGCCTTTATAAGTCACTCTAGCCTAACTCTCTGGAATGCCATTTCTGGATCATTACTGAATGAATACTTTCCACCACCTCCAAAAACACTCAAGAAGCTTGACACCATTCAGGACAAAGGGAGGGTCTCAGTTATTACTGTGTGCCTTGGGGGAGCAAGGATGTTTCTTCCATCTCCAGCATCTCACACAGCATTTCCTCCAACAACACAGGCACTTGGCCACATAGGCAGGAGGAGCTGTGGCAATTTATCATTGGACTGGAAAACCAGAAGCCCATGTGCTGGGGAACATGGGTTCAAATCTCATCAGGCAGATCATGAAGTTTAAATTTAAATTTGATCACTAAAATCAGGAGTGTAAAGTAATGGTGACCAGGACAAATATCATCAGTTGTCATGAAAACCCATTACTAATGTCTTCAAAGGAAGGAAATGTGCCATCCTTACCCAGTGGCCCTTACATGTGACTCCCAACCCACAGCAATGTGTTTTGTTTTATTCATTCATGGGATGAGGGACATTGCCGGCTAAGCAGCATTTGTTGCCCATCCCTAATTGCCCAGAGGGAACCACATTGCTGTGGGCCTGGAGTCACATGTAGGCCAGACCAGGTAAGGATGGCAGTTTCCTTCCCCAAAGGGCATTAGTGAACCAGAGGGGTTTTTCCCCCTGACAATCGGCAATTAACTTATGGTCATCATTAGACTCATAGTTCCAGATATTCATTGCATCCAAATTCCACCATCTGCCATGGCGGGATTCGAACCTGTGTCCCCAGAACATTATCTGGGTCTCCGGACTAGCAGTCCAGCAATAATACCACTAAGCCATTGCCTCCCCCTGGTTGATTCTTAATCATCAAGTAGCCTAGCATGCCACTCGTCTTGAAGGCAATTAGGGATGGGCAACAAATGCTGGCCTTGCCAGTGATGCCCACATCCCATGAAAGGACAAAAGAACCTGGAAATTTCCACGAAGGCAACACAGCGTTGGCCTTGTATACTGATGTGTGAGCTCACGTGCAGAAAGTAATGTAAAGGGCCTTTTCACTTACACGCCACAAAAATAAACGAGAGATTATGTAGGCCTTGCCAGCCATTTACCCTCCAGCAGAAGCTCCAACTTTCTGCCCAGGAGCACGCCTGAGGGTTTTTCTTATTCTGCTGGAAACCAAGTGGTGCGCTCTGCCCGTCGGGAGCCTGTGGTCCTCAGAAGCAAAGTTTCATGAAGAGGATGCTCCATCTGAAATGTCGCTTTGATGGTATTGGCCCTTCTTGTTTACATCATGCCCAGTTTTCTTTTCTGCTTCCCACTCGAACAGGAGCTATCCTGCCCTGAGCTCTCACCAAAGGGCAACCACAAGTGGCAGCGTTTGGCCCTGAGGGGCAGTGGGGCGGGAGTGGGGGGTGGGGGAAACGCGGCTGTAGAAAGGTAGTGGCAATTTGACCTCAACATTTACCCCAACTCCATTCCTGTATTCCTCTTTGCAGGCTGGCATTGATGTCAACATCAGGAACACTTACAACCAAACAGCCTTGGACATTGTCAATCAGTTCACCACCTCTCAGGCCAGCAAAGAAATCAAGCAGCTACTGCGAGGTAAGGGGGTAGTGTTGGACATGGCCTCCGCAGGCACTGGGGGGGAGGGAGAGATGCTGAGAATGAGAAAGGAAATATACTGTTCATTTGTTGGGGGCTGCACAGGTGGGAGTGTACTGTGGTGTTTTGACAATTTGCTCCATTGTTGGGAAACGCGGTTCAGGGCTTCTTGGGAGTGTACGGGTTGCAGGGAGCCAGCTGGGATTTTGGAAATCTGCTGGATTCTTTTTGGAATGCAGTTGGGTTTGGAAACTCTTCCCGACAGAAGCCGTGTTTTGTTTTGAGACATAGATGGAGAAATATAGAGTAAGCCAATGCGGCATGTGTCCATAGATCTAGAAAAGGCGATAGGGTTACCTAGTGTGGAGATGTGTTTGAATCTGTGGAGTCCCTGAGGTGTACTCACAACTGTTAGAACACATGTACAAGAAGCACCATCCAAGTGTAGGGGAAAGTGAGAGATACAAAACGAAAGTTGGATTATGCCAACACTCAGCACTGAGCACCCTTCCTCTTCCTGATGTTCCGGATGAGCAGGTGAGACAAGCAGTGCCATGGTCAATGATATTTGCAGACAACATTGAACTGTACGTTGCCAAATATGAAGATGTGACCATGTGTCTGAAGAGCTGGAGGAAGGCACAGCTACGAAGATTGGAAAATCAAAGACCCAATATGTGGGCTGTCGGTTTGAGCTGATGGAAAAGGGATCAAAGCGGAGGTGCACACAGGCTAGGTGAAGACTTGGAGAACAGGAGTAGGTTAAAGCACCTGCAGAAGATGGGAGAATGGAAGTGGAAGCTATAATACAGATTAGTTTTGGCTGGGAGAAATTGGAAGACATGTGCAGTGGAGGGTTGTGTGATGGAAAAGTGTCTTTAAAACGGAGAATCCACAAGACAGTCGCGAGGCCAGCTTTGTAATTGCAGAACCTTGAACAACGTCAAGTTAAAACAATTGGATGCAATGTGAATCGCCTGCTAATGTTAATATGAGAAGTAATTAAAGTTAGAAGGGGAGCGGATGATTGTTGTTAATGAATTATGATGATATATAACAGGTACAACTGGGATTAGAGAAGGGAAATGTTGGATTGCTGTACTCAATAAACTTTCCACCCAAAGAAAACCTATGGTTTCTTGTTTCTGTTTGACTAGCCTGGTTAGAATTTATTATCAGTGGTAGCAGAAAAATATACAGATTGGAGACTTAGGGTTTCATTCAGGAGGAGATTGTTGTTGGATTTACTTTGGAGAAGAATGGCTGAACCAAATGTACAGGGTATGATTTCTCAGTGATTGTCTATGAAGCTGAACCTTATGATCAATAGAATTTTGAAGTGGATACGTGGACATGGCTCTGTAGCATTTAAAACAAACACAAGACTGCGGCCTCAGCATTGTCACATCCTGCTGGAAACAAATTCAGATGTGGTTGTGAAGGACATGACACAGCAACAATGGAAGAGGAATAGGTGAATGACCAGAGGAGATGGAGAAGAGACAGCATTATAACCCCAAGTAAGTTCAGAGATGCTGAAAGAAGAATGAGAAAAAGTTGAGATGGAAACAGAGGTGAGGGTATGTTCCATCTGTAGAACTACACAGAATTATCAATTAATGACATAGGCCCATGGAAACTGTCCAACATGTGGAGTTAATAAACTGTGTTAGTATCAAAATGGCAGCTATAAGAGGTGGGGACAGTCTTCACATCTCCAATGGGCTTGTCAAAATAGTGTAGGTGCTCACTGTGTCAGGAATATTTCACCTTGTCTTCTTTCATATTGTTTCCTATCAACTCATCCTTTCTTCCCAACAGAGGCCTCTGGAATCCTGCAAGTCCGAGCCCTTAAGGATTACTGGAACATTCACGACCCCACTTCACTCAATATTAGGGCTGGCGACGTTATCATGGTGAGTAATAGTGGGTTTGGAGTGAGGAAGAAGCATCAGAATTGTTGGACATATAACAACATACTAATATGGAATACATATTATTTGTTATTTATAGAAATGATCTGGATGTGAATGTACAAGGCATAATTAGTAAGCTTGCAGATGCTACAAAATTAGAAGGTATCACTGTTAGTGAAGAGGGTTACCAAAAATTACATAGGGATCTTGATCAGATGGGGAAATGGGCTGAGGATTGGCAAATGCAGTTCAATATAGATAGGTGTGAGGTGTTGCATTTTGGAAAGTCAAACCATCAGAGTTTTCTTCACTTTAGATGCTCAGGATTATCCAGCAAATCTTGGGGCAGCTGTTGCCAAAGCACAGCAGGGGAGAGGCCACAATCTAAGGTCTTTCTCGGGGCGGCATGGTGGCACAGTGGTTAGCACTGCTGCCTCACAGCACCAGGGACCCAGGTTCGATTCTAGCCTTGGGTGTCTATCTGTGTGGAGTTTGCACGTTCTCCCCGTGTCTGCGTGGGTTTCCTCTGGGTGCTCTGGTTTCCTCCCACAGTCCAAAGATGTGCAGGTTAGGTGGATTGGCCATGCTAAATTGCCCATTAGTGTTTAGGGATGTGTAGCTTAGGTGGGTTATAGCGGGATGGGTCTGGGTGGGATGCACTGAGGTTCGGTGTGGACTTGTTGGGCTGAAGGGCCTGTTTCCACACTGTAGGGATTCTATGAAGAAACCAAGGTAGGAATTATACAGTAAATGATAAGGTCCTGAGGCGTGTTGTGGAACAGGGAGACCTAGGAGTATAAGTGCATTGTTCATTGAAAGCGGCATCACAGGTGGACAAGGTGGGGGAAGAAGGCATTTAGCATGCTGGCCTTCATCGGCCAAGGCGCTGAGTATAGGAGTTGGGACGTTATGTTATGGTTGTATAAGTCACTGATAAGGCTGCACTTGGAGCATTGTGTATAGTTTTGGTCACCCTGTTATAGGAAAGACATAGTTAAACTGGAAAGTGTGCTAAGGACTTGGGTTTAACTGGATTAGACCTTCGTCCACCTCAGGTGATGCACACCCTGTGTTCTGTCTCACAGTCAGTGTGTCAGTTTACCTTTAACAGAAATGCTTACAATATCATCACCATGTTACAGCATGTGACCTGAGGGTATAAAGGCCTCAGACTCCACCTTACCTTGAATCTTTTGAAGCATGACATGCTGTTGAAAGCATATATCTCTATTGTAAACTACTAGCTTAATATAACCCTAACCCTGTGTGCCTGAGGGATGTAATGTTTGTACATAACAGTTAGACAGTATAACTGTCTGCTGGATTCTTCAATACAACAACTTCCACACCCAGTTTCTTACACAGTGAGGAATTAACGTGAACATTGCTGCATCGGGTAAAAAAAGACCATATTGAAGGCAGACTCCCTCTGTAATTTATATGTAAGTGGGGGTCAGAAATGCCTCTCAGTCTGGATTTCCCTCTTTTCCCAGCTTGCTTTGTGTGTGGGTTTTTGAGGAAGGAGGAAGAAAAGAGGGAATGTATCTCTGGCTCACTCTCAGACCCAGGGACCCCAAATACCCTGAACTCAGAGTTCACAGACGGTCTCCCTCTCCCACATGCATGCACACTCCCTCAATCCCAAACTTTCTCACTCTCCATTTCAGTCTCTCACACATACCTTAATACCCTCTCCCTCCCTTACACCGTCATGTTGTTTCTTTCCATCCCTCCCTCACACAAACCCTCACATGTCCTTCTTCCTTCCATCACTCTCGCCCTGCATCCCCCTCACCCCCCCACCACATTGACACACTTTCCCTGCCTCATTAGCACCGACATGGGAAGGACAGAGTCTTGTCTTCCTCACAACTCACTCCCCAACTCAGAACCTCTTTTGCTCACACACACCTGGAAACTGAGGGTCTGCCAGCGGCCTCCTCCCACGCACTGGCCCAGCAGACTCTCGATTGCTAGCAGACTCTCGATTGCTAGCAGGCTCTCAGCACTAGCTATCACCAGTCCTGTGGCACGGGCCTCAGGCTGATCTAAGTTGCTCATGTTTGCACAGCTCGCTGATCTTCCATTCAGAGACTGTTCCCAATGATCAACCTCAACAGCAAACGTGGAGAGAAACTGTGTTTGATTAGAGGACCATCTTCTTGGAGAATCTCCCATTTGTACTTGCAACATGAGGAAGCTCCAGTTATGGACCGATTAGGACCTCTCGGCAGGCCTGCAGGCTGCCTGTTGGAATAACCTGATATGGACGTTGACGAACACAGCGTCAATATCTATGCAGCCATACCGTGTAACCTGAAACACAACAAAGTATGGCTGTGTGTACCCAAAGAGTAATCATCCTGTATATAGTGTAGGAAATAACAGTCCTTTGTGATTACAGTCGAGAATAGCAGCCCCTGTTTGTAAAGCAGTCCTGTGTATAATATAGAGAACAATGGTCCCTATGTATAATATAGAGAACAGCAGTCTCTATGAAACTATAGAGAACAGCGGTCCCTATGTAAACTATAGAGAACAGCGGTCCCTATGCATAATATAGAGAACAGTGGCCTCTGTGTATAGTGTAGAGAACAGCGGTCCCTATGTAAACTATGGAGAACAGCGGTCCCTATGCATAATATAGAGAACAGTGGTCTCTATGTGTAATATAGAGAACAGCGGTCCCTATGTAAACTATAGAGAACAGCGGTCCCTATGTATAGTATAGAGAACAGCGGTCCCTTTGTAAACTATAGAGAACAGCGGTCCCTTTGTAAACTATAGAGAACAGCGGTCCCTATATAAACTACAGAGAACAGTGGTCCCTATGTATAGTATAGAGAACAGCGGTCCCTATGTATAGTATAGAGAACAGCAGTCCCTATGTAAACTATAGAGAACAGCGGTCCCTATGTACAATATAGAGAACAGCCTCCCTATGTATAATATAGAGAACAGCAGTCCCTATGTAAACTATAGAGAACAGCGGTCCCTATATAAACTACAGAGAACAGCGGTCCCTATGTACAGTATAGAGAACAGCGGTCCCTATGTACAGTATAGAGAACAGCAGTCCCTATGTAAACTATAGAGAACAGCGGACCCTATGTATAATATAGAGAACAGCCTCCCTATGTATAATATAGAGAACAGCAGTCCCTAGGTAAACTATAGAGAACAGCGGTCCCTATGTAAACTGTAGAGAACAGCAGTCCCTGTGTATAGTATAGAGAACAGCGGTCCCTGTGTATAGTATAGAGAACAGCGGTCCCTATGTAAACTATAGAGAATAGCATCACCAACTGTCCCTCAATTCAAGGGCTAAGTTTACTTAGGGTCACAGTTATTTGCTCTGGGTCTTCGTGTCAACAGTGGGGCTGATTCCTGACCCACAAGTCTCTGTGCATGTGAGGTAGGATGTCCCAGGAAGCGATGGGATGTAGAGAGCAGGATTTCCTTCCTGTTCTTTCATTCTCTGTCACCTGCCTCAACATCACGATGTTTGATAACAGAGTGATCCAGCTTGACGAACAAGTTGTCACCATTTTGACCAGTTGGTAATGAGCTCCGTTCATGTGAATTTTGCCGTGTTGCAAGTAGTGCCTCATAGGGTCTTTGAATCACTTCCTTTGTTCAGGAACCGTCAGCATTTGTGAGCTGAGGAGACAGGACATGGAGGGGAGACAGTTTCCAGCCTCTGAACACAGTGTCCAGTTTGTCATTGTCAATGTTTCAGGAGTTTTATTGGAAAATCTGTGGAGCTGAAATCAAGAAGAACGGTAGTGTTCACTCAATGGTCCTCCCATTGAATCCGGGAAAGTGGCAGAAGCTGTGCTGGTGGAATTTCTCTAGTGTTCTCATGTACCGTTGATACATTGTCCCAGAGTATTGTGTGCAGTTCTGGTCTACATATCTGAGGATGGATGTTCTGGCTGTGGAGGGAGTACAGCTAAGGTTTACCAGATTCCTGGGATAGCAGGACTAACGTATAAAGAGAGACTGGATAGGTTAGGACTGTATTCATTGGAGTTTAAAAGACTGAGGGGCATCTCATAGAAACCCGTAAAATTCTAACAGGACAAAACAGGGTAAACACAGGAAGGATGTTCCTGATGAATGGAGAGTCCAGGACCAGAGGGTCATAGTCTAAGAATATGGGGCAGGCCCTTTAGGACTGAGATGAGGAGAAATGTCTTCACCCAGAGAGGGGTGAGCTTGTGGAATTCTCTGCCTCAGAAACCAGTTGAGGCCAAAACATTGAATGTTTCTACAAGGAGTTAGAGATAGTTCTTAGGCCTAAGGGATCAAAAAGTATAGGGAGAATGTGGGAACAAGGTACTGAGTTCGATGATCAGCCTTGATCGTATAGAATGGAGGAACAGGGGTGAATGACCTGCTCCTGCTCCTACTTACCAAGTGTCTATGATACATAGTTCAGGATTCACTGTAGTACAGGAGATTGGTGACAATAACTGTCCTGTATGCTGGACCTTTCTTCCTTTGTAGAGATCTTGGTCATCAAGCACCGTGTGCCATAGTTGGCAGCCTGGGTGCTTGGTAGCCTTTTGAGAGAAGAAGCAGTCCCAGGTTTGGAAAATGCTGAACATATTCCTAATACCTCCCTTAATTTAATACCTAAGGGGAGGTGGGATATTTAACTGACCAAGGCTGGATTGATATGAGTCTTGTTTTGACAAAATTCATGGACTGGGCCGGAGTGGACAATTATACTATACCCCTCTAAAACTGTGGGTCAGGAACATCTTGGGTTGTCAAATTGATTTTGGTGTGGAGACTGCTGCATTGTAACAGTTTTCCAGTGAGGGAGGAATTAATGCTGACACTTTGATGAGGTGAACAGGTACTATCAGATAGAATGTCGTATGGGGGGGCTCTCAGACCCCGCTCTGGATTTTGTAGGCATCTGTTTCAGATCTCCCACACCAGACAGTTACAGTTTTGCAGGAGTTGCAGGACTGTGAAGAAGTTTTTGGACATCCAAATCTCTAAAGCACAATCCACAGAGGCTGGCTTCAGTCAGTTTGATGAATGCAATCCTGGATTTCTCTGAAAGCAGAGTTTCCTCTGGAAGGTCTGAAGCCTCAGCGTGTCTCTGGGAGGATTTCCTCAGCCACAGGAAGGAGGCGATTCAGGAGGATACTGTGAGGATTTTTTCTCCAATGGGCCCTGAGGGAAATACCTCGAGTGTTTCCACAGAGTGGCCCTGATCTCCCTTCTTGAAGATCGTTACAGTTGTCACATTCCTGAACTCTTTTTCCTTCCAGAACTCTTCTCCTTTCAAATCTTTGTGCATGGAGCCTTAATGGGATTGAAAGCCTAGCAGCTCTGTAGGCCGCAGTTGGGATTCCATGAGAACCACAGGCATTTATTTCATCTGTTTATTTGCTAGTTGCAGCTCAGTTGGCTGGACAGATATTTGCATTGCAGTGTGATATCAACAGCATGGACTTAATTCCCACACCAGCTGAGGTCACCATGAAGGGCTCTCCTTCTCAACCTCTCCCCTTGCATGATACTGACTGACCCTCAGGTTAAACCACCATCTTTAACTCTCTTTCTGATGAGAGAACAGCCTATGGTCCTCTAGGACTGTGGTGACTTTACCTGTAGCTTTCTCCTGTGTTGGAAAGAGATTTTGTTCTTTTCACCCAGCAACTTCATAAAAGCTTTGTATAGACCAAGGTTGAATAAACCAAGTGTCCTTTGCTGAAAGGAGATGCTGTCCCACCGTCATCTGTCAACACAGGAAAGCATGTGTTCAACATTTCCTCAGTCAATCTAAATCCATAAGACAGCATTCCAACAGCTCACAGCTACCGCTCAAAGCCAAACCCAGAAGATTAAAGACAAGAGGAGAAAGCTGGAGAGATCCAACAATATGATGACCAGAGGCAATAGCTGTCCCTGCTGTGTCCATTATAGAGAAAACTGTCCTGTGTAAGTCATTGTGAATACTACCCCTCTGTGTACAATATAGAATAGTGGTCTCAGTACATTATAGAGAATAGCAATCATTGTGTATATTATAGAAAATAGCTGTCACTGCCTGTATCATAGGGAATAACTGCCCCTGTGTATAACATAGAGCATGGCAGCCCAGTGTATTTTTTAAAAATTCTCTCATGGAATGTGGGTGTTACTGGCTGGCCAGCATCTCTTGCCCATCCCTAGTTGCCCTTGAGAAGGTGGTGGTGAGCTGCCTTCTTGAACCGCTGCAGTCCACCTGCTGTAGGTTGACCCACAATGCCCTTAGGGAGGGAATTCCAGGATTTTGACCCAGCGATGGTGAAGGAATGGTGATATATTTCCAAGTCAGAATGGTGAGTGGCTCCCATGTATCTGCTGCCCTCATCCTTCTTAGTGGAAGTGGTCATGGGTTTGGAAGGTGCTGTATAAGGATCTTTGGTGAATTTCTGCAGTGCAGCTTGTAAATAATAGACACTGCTGCTACTGGGCATCATGGTGGAGGGAGTGAATGTTAATGGATGTGGTGTCAATCAAGCGGGCTGCTTTATCCTGGATGGTGCCAAATTTCTTCTGTTGGAGCTGCACTCATCCAGGCAAGTGCAGAATATTCCATCATACTTGTAGATGGCGCACAGGGTTTCGGGAGTCAGGAGGTGAGTTACTCAGTGCAGTATTCCCAGCCTCTGACCTGCTCTTGTTGCAACTGTATAGCAAGTCCAGTTCAGTTTCTAGTCAATGGTAGCCCCCAGGATATTGATAGTGGGAGATTGAGTGATGGTAACATCATTGGATGTCAAGGAGCAGTGGTTAGATTATCTTTTATTGGTGATGGGCATTGAATGGTACGAATGTTACTTGCCACTTGTTAGGCCTGAGAATGTAATAGGGAATGGCAGTCCTTCTGTGTATTATAAAGAATAGCAGGTAAACATGATTCTGCAGAGCTGTTATAAATGGGGAGAATGCTAGGTAAAAAGGAAAATGCACGACAGCCGTGCAGGTTAAAAGGCAAATTCAGAATGTAGAAAATGGGTTGAATTCTTCCAGTCCTTTGAATTCCTAGTGATGAGAACTAATTGCTAACAGTCATAGAACAATAGACAGTCTTCAGACTAGATTTCACATTCACCTGAGAATTTGGATTCCAGATGTTTGAAATTTTATCAGGTTTATTTCCCAAACTACTTTGCTGAGAGAGAATGCTGCTTTCAGCTCCACACTCTCACTCTTACTAACCTGAGGGAGAGAGCCAGGGCTACAGGCTTGCATATGTCTCCAGCAATTACCCAAGGCCTCTAGGCACGTACTAGAAGAAAAACACCCATTACCTCAGTCCGTAGTTTGTATGTATGTCATGCTGTAGTTTGATTATATTCCTGTAGCTAACAGAGACAGATGGAGCTGTGAAATTCCATTGATGATGTTGTATGTGTTTGGTCATTCTATAAGTCGCTGCTTCCCTGTGACAGGTCCTGGAGCAACACGCTGATGGCCGCTGGAAGGGACACATTCACGACAGCCAGAAGGGCACGGACCGTGTTGGCTATTTCCCCCCGTCCATTGTTGAGGTGCTCAGCAGGCGATCAGGTCAGTGGATGGCTGATTGTCACAGGCAACCGTTTTCCCCTAAAAGTTATGAATACTGATGAGTCAACTCTGTGGACCAGATATTTGTTGAGTAAGGGTACTGAAGGATACGGACCAGGCAGTCACGTTTGCAGTACAGATCAGGCACAGTCTCAAGGGGCTGAATGGCCACCTCCTGTTCCTAATGTTTCTTATTAGACTCCAGAAAGTCTAAAGGTGAGTAGATGAGACACCATGTTGGGGGAAGAAAAATTGGTTAAAACCAACACAGTAGTACTTGTAAATGATCATACAGGTTGTCCATTTTGAAGTATACAGGTTGAGTGGGACAAGTGTGTTTGTTTTTTCACTAGTTTTATGATTTCCTCTCTTCTGGATGAACGTAGATGTTCAACACGTGGGCTTCTGTTGGTCTTACTCACCTCAATGTGACACTATAGTGTTCATGGGAAAGATGTTATCTTGCACCTTTTCCTTTATGGGAAGACTAGCCCAGAGGTTTACGTTATTTGGAGCCCCCAACCCCCTCCCTGCATTCTCAAGGCGATGACTTATGCTGTACTGTCATGTCTCACTTGCTGGCTGCCCTCTAGATCTTCAACAAGTTGTTATTCTTCAAACAAAGAGGAAAGAATTACATTCGTGTCGCACCTTTAAAGGCCTAAGGGCTTCTCGGTGGGTTTTGCAACAAATGAAATGTAGCCACTGTTATGACACAAGGGACACAGCAAGATCCCACAAACAGGAGTGAGATAAATGACCAGCCAAATCATCTATTTCATTGAAGTTGGTTCAAGGATGTGCATTGGCTCAGACAGCAAGGAGATCTCTTTTTAGAGGTAATGCTGTGGGATCTTTTACATGCACCCAAAGAGCAAACGTGATTTGGTTTATGACCCCAGCCTTAAAAATGGCACCTCCAACAGTGCTGCACTCCTTCAGTACTGCACTGAAATGTCAGCCTGGATATGGTGATTCTGATGTGAGTCTCGAACCTAAAACCTTCTGACTTGAAGGTAAGACTGCCACCAAGTGAGACAAATCTAGTCATGTCCATGGTGCCTAGATATTTACCATCAGCATAAAGATAAAACCAATTCTGATCTTCGATATGCCTCAGATTGACATCCACATACTTTCTAACATTGGTGGTAAGAAGCAATGACTCTGGCTGTAATTAGCCAATTCAAACTCAAGCCTGCCCTGTCCTTATTTTGTCCTTAGCCAAATACTTACTAAAAGCAAGAGCTGAAATGGGATTCTGTCTTGACAAGTGATCTGAATTGTTAACTGATTGATTGACATCTGTGAATGATTATCAAAGTTTGTTCATTTTGTGATCTGTTGTTTTCAATGTCTCAATGTTTATTCAAACAAGATTAAGAGGTGTGACATGTCTGTAATCTCTGTTACTGCTACTTTAATGGTCTGTCTGACATAATGATATTGTAGTAACAGTGGGGTCTTTTAAATAACATTTCTGAATGGATTTATTTTCTCTCAACTTTTCCATTCTTGCCAGAGTTATGTGCTCATTGCTTATGTAAATTGTGCACATTAGGTGAATGGGTATGGAAGGAGCATGGGTTAGCATTGGGTTGGAATGAAGTCACAAGTGTCCATTGGAATTTGTTGGGAGACATGGGCAAAACCTTTTGAAAAAACCTTCCCGTCCAAAAGGTTTCAGAATCTGGATGATGGTTCATCACATCTCTGAGTGGGCACTCCTTGAGAACCTGACCCAACTCCGTGAAAATCTCAGGGGGCTAAGGGATGCCTATGCCACAGTGGTGCTGCCAGTTCAGGGGTACAGGGTGTCAGCTCACTGCCCTTGTCTCATACCGGCTAAAATTGCCCCTGCTGGGAATCCCAGAATCAGGTCCCGCCTGCCCATTTTAAAAGGCTTCCGAATCATCCTGATTCTGGGAAAATCTGTCCATCTGACTGCAATCACTTTCTGAGTTCATTAGGACAGTTCTGTTTCCGGGATAGGTGGGTGCTGTGATGTATCTCATGTTGGGAGTGGCCTGTCCAGGCTCATCATGAACTCAAGACCCTTAGGCAAGGCAGCAAGGATCTGGCCCATTTTTTAATTCATTCACAGGATGAGGGCATTGCAGGCTGGGCAGCATTTATTGCCCATCCTTAGTAGCCCAGAGGGCAATTAAGAGTCAACCACATTGCTGTGGGTCTGGAGTCACATGTAGACCAGGCCAGGTAAGGATGGTAGTTTCCTTCCCTAAAGGACATTAGTGAACCAGATGGGTTTTTCCAACAATTGACAATGGATTCATGGTCATCATTAGACCCTTAATTCCAGATATTTATTGAATTCAAATTCTACCATCTGCCAGGGAGGGATTCAAACCCGGGTCCCCAGAACATTATCTTGGTCTCTGGATTAACAGTCCAGTGGTAATACCACTAGGCCATCACCTCCCTGGGAGAGAAGGAGCGAAATCACTGGAAAAGTCTACAAAATCTTGGTGATTCTGGTGTTTTGAAGCAAACAGGAAAGGTTTGCCCCACAAGATTTCTCTGTGATCTGGTTGACTAGAAAGGGTGGTTAATCCATTGGGATTATAAACAGTGTCTGAACGGGAATGAGATTGATCCACCAGGGCTCTGCAGTGTAAATTAAACAGGAAGAGCTTTGGTAAATTGGAATTCTTCTCCCAATGTGAAGTGGCAGCCAATAGGATTCAGCACAGTAAAAACATTGACTCCAATGAATTCTTGACAATAGAAGCAAACAGGAAAAGCCTTTTGGTAAAGGGATATTTTACAATTGAACATTTGAATGGGTAAGGTATAGGTCCACAGGAAGTCCTGTGTATTAATGGGTGGGCCATTTTGTTCAATTCTACATTTTGGGAATGAAGGCAAAAGGGTTGATTAGGAAGAATTTTGGTCTATTCGCCGTGGCAGACAAGGCTATGGGCCAAATGCTGGGAAATGAGATTAATATAGTTAGATCTTTAATGATGGGCATGGATATAAGGGGCCGAAGGGTCTCTATCTGTGCTGTAATACTCTGACTTGCATTTGGATATTACACATAGGATGTAGATAGGAGATGGGAAATTAGAGGATAGAAGAATGAAAAGTGGTTACATTGAAACTTACAAAATTGTTAAAGGGCTAGACAGGATGGATGCAGAAATGATGTCTCCTCTGGATCAGGGATCTAAAACCAGGAGACAGTTTCAGAATAAGGGGGAGCCATTCAGCCCCGAGGTAACGAGGAATTTCTTCACCCCGAGAGGGGTGAGTCTTTGGAATTCTGTCTCCCAGTGCAAAATTCCCTGTAAGTTGTGTGAGGGTCAGTGCTTGATGATCAATGTGTGGACACATTGACGTCTGGTTCCAGTAACCACTGCCATGCTCAGACTCTGGAGGTCCTCAAGAAACAAGAAAAATTGGAGGGTACATAACCCGTAGGGTTGTCGAGGCTCAATCATTGAGTATGTTTGAGACAGGGGTCAACAGACTTCTGGATATTCATGATGTCAAAGGACATAAAGGAAAATGGCACTGAGGTTGATGACCAGCTGTGATCTAGTAGGATGGAACAGGCTTGAGGGACCGAATGGATTACTCCTGGTTCTGTGTCCCTAACCAGGCATTGGAAGGTGCATCATCCAGTACCATGGAATTGCAGAGCGAAAAGGGCAGGACTTTGGCAACACGAGCATTGGTCTTGTTCTTCCTGTGTCTGGGATGGCGGTAAAATAATCTTTAAAAGAAAATAGGAATAGGTGTAATCAAATTAAATCAAAACAGTTCTTCACTTAGCAGATCTAGCTGGACCCTGACCTGGTATTAGTTAAACCACAGATGAATCAAACAATGTAACTCCATTCGGGGGTCTAGTTATGAAGTAATAAACTCCAGGTACTGCATATTGTTTAGAAAGTGCTCAGTGGAGACTGTGTTTCCAAGGGAACGGCACTCAGTGAGGCCAGTGGAGCGTGTTACTCAGTGACCAGGGCACTATACTGCACTGCCTATGGTCCATGTGAAATGATGGATCCCTTTACTCTAATGGGTCACTGACAAAAAGAATGGGAGAGGGAGCCAGGTGGAAGAGGGCAATGAAGTGTGTTTTACAGGTTCAAAAATGTTTGCATTTCTAGTCAGGCGTAAACTTAGAGGTGAATTCTCTGTTGCTAAGCTAAGGCCTTGGACTTTGCATGTAGGCTGTAAGATTTACCTCATAGAATTAACAGTGAACTTGTTGATTGCATATGACTGAGCTGATGGACTGAGAGGAATAACAACAAGAGTGGGAACACCTTTTATTTTCCACCCCCTCCTCATTCTCCTCCCCCTTCTCTCCTACCCACCTCTGCCAAGAGTTGGGAGAAAGTTGAGCAAGGTTCTCCGTTTGCAGCTCAGTGCCTTTTATTTCAGATAATTATTTTCTGAAATTTTCTGGACTTGAAGAGGCCACGTTGCTTTATCTGGCTGATCTCAGAGTGCTTAAGGCAAAAGAATATCAAAGACAAATGTATTTTTTGTGGGTGCTGGAAAACTGAGGTAGACAGGAAACGTTGGAAACACTTGCAGTTGCAAGGGGAAATGGGGTTAATGTTTCAGGCCACTGACCTGCCATGAAAAGTAGCATGTTTTAAGTCGGTACAGAAGCAGCAAAAGTGGCACAACAAAAGGGAACAAGAAGTAGCCCTTGCAAACCTCCCCAAAATAGGTCCCTAAAAGGTGATACTTCGTAAAATGCAGGATAGATACTGCTAAGGGACACGATGATTGAAGAGGCAGATGAACTGGGTCAGGTTGAAAACTTTCCACCTGTGAATGAGGAATCATGGGATTGAAGAGTGTCAACAGGTGTGGCGAACTGAGTTAAATATAAAGATCTCATGGGAATTTGGCAGACCTGCTCGTGGGCCTGGTCAAAGCGGCCATCAACAGGACCAGACAGCAGGGGTGGAAGAGGGTCATAGTTCTCGACTACCCTCCCCTTTTCCAGGTTTGTGCCTGGGTATCCTTGGAGAGGCAGTATGCAGATCCTTCGAACACTCTCGGTAACTTTATAGAGAGCTGGGTACCGTGGGGGTGTGGAATCCATTATTGCTCCTTCTGAATACGTTTTAATTTAGTTCCCCTTTTCTCCCCCTGCCTTTCCCTCACCTTTGTTACCATAGCACTGCCCCTGACAGGCTTGTATGTAAATTGAACAGTTGGGAACACAGGTGATATAGTGGTGGTGAGTAACATGTAGAAAGTTACACAGGCGATAGAGGCCCTTCAGCCCCTCCAGTCTGTGCTGGTCAAAAGCAGTTGCTAACTATTTGAAACAACAAGGTGCAGAGCTGGATGAACACAGCAGGCCAAGCAGCATCATAGGAGCAGGAAGGCTGACGTTTCGGGCCTAGACCCTTGTTCAGAAA